TTTTTCCTAGTTAGTACTTACACACAGATGCCTCCATTGAGGCTTGAACCCCTAACCTCCCTTTAGGAAGTAGGGGCTTGGTACTACTAGGCCACTGGCCCATTGGTCCAATTTGTGTTCTTTGTGTGGTGTGTTGTTGCTTGGGTTCGCTGCGTTTGTCGTAATAGAAACAAATGCACAAAAAGAAGAAGATAAAGAATCATAGGAATCAAATTAGAAATAGAATATTGAGTACAACTCCTGATTCCCATTCTAACAGCAATTGGAAGGTCATTATTATCAACAATAGGAATAGCAGAAGACTTATCACCTGATGGGAGAGGAGGTACATTGGATTCAAAAATTGGAGGGAGATTACAACTGCTGTGGTGGAGGCACATTAGTGGGATTTTGCTCCATCTGACATCTAGGCCGATGAGAATACGTCAAGAAATTCTCCATATCTAATCTCCTATAATCAGCTTGTTCATGACCCTGCTCCCCCTTATTATGAATAGTGGAATCTTCCACCTGTTTTCCAAATCAAATTCCTCCTAAGGTTGAGCTTGAACAAGAATACGAATATAAGCTTCAGAATGAAAAAACCTCTTCCTCCTCCACATTCTCCCCCTGAAGAGATCGTTCTGAAGGAAGAAAATTGGGCTCAAACTAATGAAAAGTGACGTCCAAGCTAACAAAAGTTTTTGTAGGAGGATAATAGTAGGACTTGTATTGTTTTCTTGGCCTCTTTGAAGGTCTAAGGCGCCCTTTGGCCCTTTTGTTTCCTTTTGTTTCTTTGGGCTTCGCTCCCCTTTTGAGCGTTTTTAATAAAATCTTACTTATCAAAAAAAAAAATAGTAGGACTTGTGCCCATTTTGTGTTGTCGAGTATCCAATAAACACACATTTTACTGCCTTGGGATTAAGTTTCCCTCTGGAACGTTGGTGATCATGAACAAAACATACACATCCAAAAACTTGTGGAGGAATGGAATAGATGATTCCACGACCTTGAAGCAAATCAATAGGAAACATAAAGTCGAGAGCTCTCAAAGGCATCCGATTAATGAGGTATGCAGTGGTAGAACAACACCACCCTAGAAGGTCTTAAAAACACCCGTACTAAATAGTTATTTGACTCACAAAACAATTTAGAAACTTGGTGATTTGATTCACAGAAAGCAAAATTGTTAAAAAAAAGTTGAAATATATAATACGGAAGAAAGTGACATGGATGGGGAACATTAGACAAGCCCATTTTTCCGAAATATATGACAAAGAGCCATTTGCAACTCTAACCTTATCCCTACTAGAACAAGTTAAATAAGAGGAGAAAAGATTAGAAGAACCTGTCATATGATCTGAGGTTCCAGAATCAATGACCCATGGTTGAGAAGGTAGAAAGACAATAAAAGCCCTTGTAGATATACTTGTGTGATCAAAGTTAGAAGATTAGACTATAGCAGAAGTTGAGGTAGATCGAGTACTGAAGCAAGCCATCAAGCCTCTAAGTGTCTACAATTCATATGTAGCGAGAGTGGCAGAGTCCCCCCACTGTTTGGCTTAGACATTGTCTCTGAAACCTTCGACAAATGAGCATGTGACCTTGCAGAGCTAGACCATCCTCCACCTCGAGTCCTTGACTGATATGTGGTTGCATGGATTATAGCAACCAAGACATCACCAGTGAATTGTCGGAAGTCAAATAACCACTTAGGCCATGTGTCTGAATTCACAGAAGGCATGATCGAGACCACGCTAAGTAATTGCTCCCGTCCAATTTCACAGGACTGATTTGAAGAGATGGTTTGTCAACAATAGTCGATACACGACTTAATCCAACTTTCTCAATACTAGTAGAGACTTCTGACATCTAATCTCAAGAATAGATACAATAGCAAAAGAATAAACAAGGAATCTAAGGATGAACTCAACTAGAAATATACAGGACAATTATATAATTATCAGACCTGAGTTAGATGCTTCAAATCATGCAACCAAACTTCAGACAATCATCAACACTGCCGAGTTGCACCTCTGATAAGCAGAAAATCCAATAGAAAAGGCTCCATCAACCAGATCACAACAAACAACCCCTCTTTTTTCTAGAAGATGGCATCAAAATCAGGAAAAATATATTGTGATCTTCCACGCAGAGGGGTGATTCAGGATGAAGACTTTTGACCAACATGCTGACGTAAGCACACTTCTAGGCCTTCTTCAAGCTAAGAAGAGAAATGAACACGGAACTTTGCCTGGCTCTAATATCAAGTTGAATTATAGGATTTTGGAGAAGAAAGATACGAGAAAGAGAGAAGAAGACAGAGTAGAAAAAGAATGCAAGAAAGGGTCGTAAAAAATTGATTCTGACATCTCTACACCTATATATTTATATTCTTCAGAAATATAATTACAATAATTATAGGATTTGAATTACAATAATTGTGGTCAAATCCCACTGAGTATGCTTACTAAATATTCTGGCCAATCCCACTATTTATGCTTATTACAGAATATTCCCAAATATTCCAACACAAGATGAAAATATGCGATGACATTTGGTGAGGAGGCTCCCCCTTAATGATATGGTCACAAAGAGACTCCTTCGAAGATGTCACTATTTAGTTGACTTGACATGACAAAGAAATGCACGAAATGATGCAACGTGCAAAATAATGGCAAAAGAAAATCAATCATGTGAGCGGAAGAACGATCTAGAGTAGGGTACAATAAACTTGCTCTAATATCATGTTGAAATTAGTGTTCAAAGAGAAGGAAAGAGTAGACTGTGTTTGGGGAAATTTTCCAGAAAGGGTTACAATCTCCTAACTCCTATATATATGACAAAATAATGTTACAGTAAAAAGACCAGCATGTCTTTATAAGAAATACAAAAATACACCTACATAGATTCTAACAAAAGTCAAACACAACAAAGCACAGGTGTGCATGAAAGTGAAAGAAATGTATTATGACCTAGAAGACTAAGCCATATTCCAAGTTCAAACTAGTTTGGATGCATAGGTGAATCTTAGCTGCTCTACATAGGGCAGGCAATTGCCAACAATATTTTATTTTTCCAGGAATTCTTGAATATTATGACATATAATTACAAATCATTTTCTATTTGTTGTCCATCTATATAGCAATAATAATAATAAATAAATAATAAATAAAAATCACCCTTTTGAAACCCAAAACTTAAAAGCTGCCCACACCTTATGCTGCCTCATAACAAAGATGGGGTTTATAGTTCTATCAAGCATCATCTTAAGTAATCACAAAAAGAAATTTTTTTGAAGGGGCCAACCTGTGGCCAAAGCAAAGTCCTGCCAGAAAAGCATAAGAAAGTTCGCAATGAATCAATAATCAACCATCTCAGTAAAGTTCCCGCAAATTACACAAGTGTTTTTCTAGTATGGAAATTCTCATTCACGTCGACAAGTTAGAAGCTGTGATCCAAATTGAAACCTTGGAGTAGAGGGAATATTTGCCACCCAATCACCTCAGCAGGTGTGGAAACAGGAGGCATCATCCAAGTCAAAGAGAGAACATGGAAAAACATATAAAGCTAAAAGAACCATTACTTTTGTGGAAAAAGGAAGGAACATAGATTCCTTTAAAAGGCTAAAGAAAAGAAGCAAACTTTCTTTCAATTCATAAACTTATTTTCTTTCCTTTTATTTTATTTATTTATTATTTTTTTTTTTCCCATTTTGATAGCTTTCCAATTCATACTCAGTAAGATTTCTGGAGCAAAACTGAATTTCGAAGACAATGCATTTCGAAACACAGAAAAGGAGAGATTGGAGTTCCACTGGATATCAAATCATGAAATGAATGAGTAACACAACCTTGATAACAATATCCCACCAAGAAGTTCGAAGAAAATTTCAAATATCAGCCCCACAAAGAACCTGTCTCAACATGAAACTTAGGCACCCATAGATAATGGAGCCCAGAGGGCAAAGGAAGTCTTCCTAATACCTAAACTACATATCCTACCTAGTTTGTGAAAGACCTTACTTCTATTTTTTTGGCCAGGCAACAAGGGAACTTGAGCCCCTAATAGTTCGATTTGTCAAATACTATATATACTTCCACTTAATAACATGTCAAAGTGAGTTAAACCCTTTGGGGAATATCTCCAAACATTTACTAACAAGAACATGGTTCCCTAGTACTACATTAGCCAATCCTAGACCACTCCAGCTCATGTCTGAGAATATCCACCCACCTAAGCAATGGTCTTAGAGATATTACTAGTCACAGGACAAAAGAAACATCTCCGGAATTTTTCGAATCCCAGATATGACACAGCCTGGCATTATATATATCGAAATTAATTAATGACGAACAATGGCTAACGCATACATTAAAAAGGCTCTTACTACCTTAAAATCAAAATAGAAGCTCTTTTCCACTCGGCTAAGTACTTGGACACCCTATGAATTATTGGAGAAATAGTAGGCTGGTTGAGTTCTCAACATTTTGGTATTTGTGTCTTGGCAGTATGGTTGCTTTCTAAAAAATATATTGGATACTGTATTGGATTTTTTTATTTTTTATTTTTTTGATAAGTAAGATTTCATTAAAGGCGCTCAAGAGGGGAGCCCTCCCAAAAGAATACACAAGATGCCAAAGGTGATAGTCTTGGTTTTTGAGGCAGAGGTCAGATGGATTCATATATCAGTTCAATTACCAGGCTGATTTCCAGGCTAAGAAGAGAGCACCTTTGATCAGTCGGTCATGCCAATTAGGGGTCACTTTACAGTCTTTACCCCTTTACAGTTGTTTATCCTTTTCAGTTTTGTTTATTTCTTGGTTCTTGTAACCTCTTGGAAAAAATCCTTCAACCTTCTACGCCTTTGTATCTTGCTTTTCTTATTAGTAATAGTTCTTATTTCTAGCTTCTCATATATAGAAAATGCTGTAGCATTAGGTGTACTACCAAAGCAGCAGACCTAAAAGAGTTTCAAAGCCAACAATGCTGCAGAGATTAGAGAGAAGAGTAATGCTTACCAATTCCAACACGAGCTCCAACAGTCAGTTCTGAGAAATCAATATTCCATTCTGGATAAGGTAAAAGAGGCTTATTCTGGAACATGGGTGATTCTAGAACTTTGTTCCACGTTGAGACCATTTCATCATTTACTATAGAGTCTGAAGTCCCACTTCTCTCAGAAGCCTGACTCCTAAACTCATGTGGCGATGAAGGCAATGATATTGCCTTACCGGATACCCCATCACGATCATCAAGGCAGAAATCAGATACCTGAATTGGTGCGCTAGGTTATTACATTCACAAAGATGAAAAAATAAAAGAGACATTCTAAAAAAGCTAGGGCCATTTAAAGCAACATTGGATAAGCTAATAATCAACATGTCATGAATTTCAACAACATTCAGGCATACCATATTTATGATACTAGAAAATTTTAAGTCTCGGAACAATGGCTGAAATTGCATGTTGATCAAAGAAGTAGCAATGGCACTATACGATTCTTATCAACCAGAATTAGATATAAAAGTACCAAGACAAATCAGATTAAAATCAGGTAAAAGAGGTACAAATGCCTTCAAAAAAGCTGAAACATACTGAATTTTGTAAAATGAAAGTAAATGCGTATAAGGTCTTGTAGAAAAACAAGTGAAGGAAAATAACCGATGCTATTAGATCCTCATTATCCAAAGATTAGACCAATCCAATTTTTTGCTTCAAAAATGCATTGAAGTCCATGTTTCTTTTGTGCTTGATTGATCATTGATCAAAACCCAGAAATAACAATTATGTGCCTCTTCACGCACTGCATGATTTGACCCCATCAATGTCTTTTGGTAAGAAAGAGAAAGAACTTTTAAAGACATATTATACACACAATAAGGCCATATGGGAACTCCTGACCTCCCTTTGGGAAGTAGGAGCCTTGTACCGCTAGGCCACAAGAACAAAAGCAAACCTTTGTTCAAGGTATTCAGGCATATATCTAATATAGTTTTACTCTTAAACACCAGTTTTACAAGGTTATTAGTCAATTGTGTTTCTAAAAGCATGTTTAACAAGAAATGGTTTAATGAAAGAATAGTTAAAGCAATCCTTTGAAGGAGAGGAATCTTTGGTTATTGTTCTCAATTCTTCTGTTATTAGCTCTTTATTTTTTGGGGGTTTGGGTAGACTGTGTTCCTCTGCTGAGGAGACTATTGAGTTTTTGGCTTCCCTGGGGCCTTAGGGTACCTAGGTTTTTGTGGTCTTGTAGGGATGCATTCCCCTTTTGAACACTTTTAATGAATTGCTTATTTATCAAAAAAAGAAAGAATAGTTAAGGCAAACAAGAGAAAAAGAAAATAACATGGAAAAGAATATAAGAAACAGTTTGTGTGACGGAAACATATATAACAATACGAAGCAAAATTTTGAATCAAACAAATAGTAATAAAAAAAATAAAAATAAAAATAAATAAAAAAAAGAACCAAGTTATGTGATGGAAATATATAATGATACTGTTAACAACCATCTATTCCAAAGGTTTAAGCTATTTGAGAGGGTGTAACTTTAATATATAAATCCTTCAACACATCCCCTCACATGTGGGCCTACTTTTGGTCCAACACGTGTTTCAATTTTAAATTATAAGGGTGACTGTGAGGTTTGAAAACAGTACTTCCTTTCAACAGATACCATGGAGTGGTCATTTGAAAGGGTGCAACTTTAATAATTAAAATTTAAATATCTTCAAACCACCCCCTCACATGTGGCACTCTTTTGGTCCAACGCGGGTTTCAATTTTCATTATTAGGGTGATGGTGAGGTTTGAACACATGACCTTGCTTGCTCCAATACTCTCTTAACAATCATCTACTCCAAAAGATTAAGATATTAGAGAGGGTGCAACTTTAATATTTAATTCCTTCAACAGATACCAAGGACTGGTCATTTGAAAAAGGTAATGTCATAACCTATTCTTCTTATAGCATAATTGTTGAAAATTCCATGTGGCAGAAAACATAATCACTCCCCCAATACAAACCAAAACCACACTGCCTCCATTAGAAGTATTCCAGCATTTTAAGTCTCCCAAACATTAAGCAGGTGATAAAGACATCAAATATGGTGCATCCACATGATACTACACAAGCTAAACAATTAAAAGATTGCATTGGATAAATACTGTTTTCAATTAAAAAATAACAAACCAAATTCCAAAATTAGTTCCATGACAGTTTTTTTCAAAAACAAAAAAAAAAAAAAACAAAAAGTGAAGTTGTTCACTTAATAAACATTTTATCGACTTATAACCAACTTTTAGAATGATATGATAATATATCAGGACATCGCAGACATGGAAATCAATGTTAACACAGTTATGACCACTGAATAAAAAATTAGTAATCTACATCATGAATTTGAGAAATAAAGAATAAATGTGGTCCTACACGTACATTTTTCCGAAGATCTGAACCTTTGATATCATCGTTCGAAGTATAGGAAAACGATCCATCATTCCCCGGTTCTCTTAAAAGACGGTTCTGCTTCAGTGTTTCATTCATCGCTCGCACAGCCCTAGTTCATGAAGCCAAAAAACAGCGTCTTAAGTAGTAGTCGAACAACACGAATGATCACAGAAGACGAATAAAAAAACAATTAATTAGACAATGATTTTTATGCAGATGGGTGTCTTTGCACACTTTTTGGGAGGTGAAAGGAGGGAAGTTAAGATCAAGACTTTTAGGTTGAAAGGCATAGACGTCGATTCCTTAATGGACGTCTACAAAGAAATCTATAGATGTCTAACTGGAAAAAGTAAATTGCACATAGACGTCTATCTGAAATCATACAGACGTCTATATGAACGACGACATTTGAAAAAGGTAAATTTAATTACTCCCAAACACATCCTAAAGTCCCCTAATGGTCATATTTTCTAAAATGGCTATACATACTAAATGTCTTGGACATTTAAGTTAGAGACAACAACTGTTGTGAATATAATTGTACATCCTTTGTTGGTAGAAACTACCATTGAGCTTAAACATGAACATCATTCATTGGTAGAAACCACTATTGAGCCTTAAACTCTAGGTTCTTGAGCTTGTATTGGTATATCTTATCTTTGAGATATATCTATTTTTGTAATTCCAAACTTCAATTCTTATTCTTTGAGAGCGCAAAGAGGGTTGGTGCAACCCTTGGATTCAAAGTGAAGGGTTTTTCACTTAGGGATAAATGTAATGGTTTGCTCTCCACTAGTGAAGGAGAGTTGTAAAGGTTTGCTCTCCACCAGTGAAGGAGAGTTGATAGTGTATTTTTGAATTCTCAAGAGGTGCTCTTGAGGCGTGGACATAGGCAGGGTGCCAAACCAAGTTACGACTTTGTGTTCCTTGTGTTTTAATTTCTCTATCCTTAACTCTCTTTACATTCAGCTTATCTATGTTGTGTATGCACATATTAGTTAAATCTTAATTTTAGAATCATTAATCTGAAAATTTCTTATAGTTTGCCAAAAGACCCAATTCACCCCCCTCTCAGGTCATTGTTTGGGAAACAGGTAATTGTTATTTTTTTTTTTTTGACAAGTAAGAAACAGGTAATTGTTGTGATATTTTTGGGCTTAGAAACTAAAAAGATGGTTTCCTGGATTTCAAGTGGGTAAAAAAAGGGCTAGCCGCCACTGTGGGATCTGGGGAGAGTTAGATGTACGCAGCCTAACCTCCACACATTTAACAAAAATATTTAAAGTGGGTAGTGACTACAATCTCTATTACAGTTACGTCTGGCTCTAACTATTCAAAGATATTTGCTTAGTATATTAATGATTAGCAGAATAGTCCATTAGGATTTAAACTATCTGATGAAAAATCAAACAAATCAATTGCTTAACATAGCCAATGTCTTTGACTATCCGATTTTTAGCTCCAACAATACCTCCATTTCAAAATTGATCAGCATAAGATACGATTGTGAATTAACTGTTTTATTGCCTACATGATCTACCAACACCTTTTCACGGTCCCGTGTCGATTAATGAGGAATTGATTCTTAGAATTAGACTAAAACAAAAACCTTCAAATAATTCAAAAGACTGCAAGCACCACTTTATAGCCTCTGGATTATAATTTGGGGATGATGTGATATCCCCTAGACATGTCTTATTGTTTCGCTTTCTTTCTCCACCTATTCTCTGGCCAAGCATTGTCTCTCTTTATTTCTCCTTCTCTTCTCTTTCCGAGCCAGTGTCCTCTTTAAAAATCACAAGCCCTCTGGTTTACAATTTAGCAATATCTTTCTAGAATCCAATTGGCATTATATATTGAAGAGAAGGTAAACAAGTTAAACAATGCCATCCCAAATATGATAGTGAAGATTATTATTTCACAAAAGCACCTAAATACTTATGAAATAACCTAAATTTAGAGAGTGTAATCATTGAGAGAAAATAAAAAGACAAAACAAATAAGAAAAGCTAAATGAACATTTAAAAGGAATAAGAAAGGTAACATCCCATCATGGAGTAGGATTTAATATAAACAAGGTCCACTTAATTCAAAATGAAGTCGATAAGGCATAATAAAGCAAGCATCAACCTTACGATATCATCCCCAATCTCTGGAGTAATACTTATGCTTCTTCTTCTTATTCTACGGGTTTCTGATGTTGAGGCACCTTCTGACCTGTAGCTACATTGGAATATAAAATTATATTGAAATAAAAAAATAAAAATAATTGAATAAACATAATTTTTTAATCAAGAACTAGTTATATGGACACCAACAGATTAAACATCATTGTAAAAAAATCATCAAATCACAACAGTATACAATCTTAAACAACTAGAATGATATTTATATACAAAGAATGTTGTCTTCTTAGAGCCAAAAATTATAGAAGCGTACATGGTTACATGTTTGTGTGCCTATTCACGTTACAGTTCAATGCCTAAATAGTATACGCTACTCCAACGTATACCTGTCACCTCACTTAATCCTAGAAAAAGGAAAAAGACAAAAAGGGAAGGGAGAGGGAAGAAACAATAAGACTCACCTCATCAATTGCTTTGTCACACGCTTAATCATAATAATAAGAGTATAACATTTGAAAATGTGGATTTTGATTTTTTAGCTTATATAAAAGTCACCAACCAACTCCGAAAGAAAAGTAATTAGTAAACAAAATTATTTTGATAGGTAAAAAAAATAACATATAAATGGAGAGAACCTAAATAACACTCTGCTACATGCTTTCTTTATTCTTTAACGCACACAAAAGTCAATTCATCTACTCTCCCCACCCAAAGAAAATTAAATAAATAAATAGTTTGTTTCAATAGGAAAAGGAAGAAAAAAACAAATAATTAAAGAAAAAAAACTAAACAAAAGAAGAAAGACAGAAAGACAAAACAAAATTTAAAAGAAAAAAATCACCTAATTGATAGCTCAGGAGCACCACAATTCAGATTTTATGTGGTGTTGGCAATACAACTAATCTTTTAGCATAAAGTTAATAGACGACTCAAAAATATATGAATCAACAACTTAGGAGAGATATCTATTTATAATTTTTTTAGTGGTAGTAGTTTTCATATTTGTTAAATATAATATAATTAAACCTATAATATATTGCACTTGAGATTTAAGATGCCCTAGGGTCATGTTCAATAGTCAATACCACAGACTCACAAGCAACATTGTTTTAGTACCTACTTCAATATATATCAGGCAATATAACTCATTACAACATAATTCTTTAACTTATGGATGATCAACTCCAGACATACAGAAAAGCAAAACCCAAAGTTTCAACAAAGAATGATCGATTGTAGACATGTAGAATGTAGATTCTCTTACCGCATTCCCCCCAAATCAATTTTGTTAAATTTAGAATTCAGACTACAGGTGAAACGCATTTGAATTGCATGTTACGGAGAGAAAAATGAGAAACAAAAATAAGTTAGAATCAACCTCATCTTAAAAGTCAATCCCCTAACAACAAGAAATGCATCCACATCACATCACAGTGAGAAAAGAATTCCTCCATCAACCTCAGATTTAAAATTCAAGCAAAAACAATCCAACAGTGCCTAAAGTTTGTTCTAGTATCAACACCCCAAATACAAAGTGAATACCTCTGGTTAACTATAATTATTGGCTTTAAGGCCACAAGTGCTTAAAGTTTGTTACAATATCACTGTATCAGCACCCCAAATACAAAGGGAATATCCCTGGTTGACCATAATTATTAGCTTTAAGGCCACAAGCTGTTAAAAGGACTAACAGCTTTCTACTAGGAAGTCTAGGATGGATCAAAGATCAATGGCACAAATAAGAAGAAATCATTTCCTCAGATTGCAATATATGCTGAACAGCCGCGCGCGCGCACACATATATTCAAGCTATAAGAAAAAAGGATGTCACCACCTTGATGTAGCCAAGTCCTCAGTGTAATCCCTGAATGATTTCCTATCACCGCTAAGCATGGATCGTGCACGTGATCGGAAAGAAGGATGCTCTGGACTGCAAAATCAGAAAACAATTCAAACATCAAAAACTAAGAACCCGCCTTAGAAATAAATATTTCATGTTGACAATATATAATCAAGGGACAACTATTCAATTTAGGGGCATAATTTCAACACAGGTTAAACAGAGCGTGCATAACATTAATAGAAGTTCAAGAAAAGATCATAAATCTAGTCTGTTTGAGTTGAAACTATCCTACTGTTACCCGTCCTATTATTACTTATGTTGTTGGTGTGGTTAGTCAGTATATGCATGCTCCTCGTCAACCACACTTTTGAAGTTGTTTGTCGTATTTTGTGTTATCTGAAGGGTGCCCCTAGGAATGGGTTGTTATATAAACCCTCTTCCTCCTTATCTATGACAGGTTTTAGTGATGCTGATTGGGCTAGCAATCATTGTGATAGGCACTCTACATCTGGTTAATGCACATTTGTTGGTGGTAATCTTGTTACTTGGCGCAGTAAAAAGCAAACTATTGTTGCTCATTCTAGTGCTGAGGCTGAGTATCGTGTTATGGCTTATACCGCTTCAGAGATGTTGTGGGTTCGCTCTTTTCTTCAGGAGATGGGTATCGATGTTCCTTCTCCTATGTCTATGCTTTGTGACAATCAGGCCGCTATCTTTATTGCTAGCAATCCTGTTTTTCACGAGCGCACCAAGCATCTAGATGTTGATTGCCATTTTATTCGTGATTTGTTGATGCGGAAACAGATTGTTACTCCCTATATTTGTTCTGACGATCAGATGGGTGATATTTTTACGAAGTTGTTAGCTCATGGTACATTTCAGCAATTGTGTTTCAAGCTGCGCATGTTCAATCTGTGTGCTCCAGCTTGAGGGAGAGTGTTAGAGAGTTGGGTTATTGGGCAGTTAGAGAGTTGGGTTATTGGGCAGTATTGTATTAAGGGCATTTTTGTCTCCCTGCTATTTATATATAATTTTAGAGTGGTGTAGAATCTGATTAAGTTTTTTTCAACTCCACAATAATATTTTTCTTCTCTTCTGCTTCACTCCCAAACCCTAGAATACAATCTCACAAAGCTCACTTTTTGGGTTGAATCCGAGCCGCCGCAACCCAGGCTAAAACAAAATTCAGGCCACAACATCGCTTACTCTCTAAGCGGAAAGATTGAAGGGATGGAAACCAAGATAACTTGGTTGGTTACCAAATTGGTGCTGTGCATTGGGAATATGTAGTTGCATTTTGTTTCTGGTTTTTATGGCATTGTCATAAAAGTAGGGTCTTCAAGAACTTCTTTGTCATGGTGCAAAGACTGCCAGAGTTGTTGCCAACCAACCAGAGGAAACCAGAATAGCTTTCACACCAATTTTTCAAAAAAATCAGCTCAAACATTAATTAAATCATAGCTTGAATATCATTTATTTCCAAATCCGCCCTTTAATACAAGAATCATCCACAAAAGTACACTGCAATTGCTAAGAAATCGATATTGTCATCCTCTTGAACACTACAGTCAGTTAAAATGCCCACTAATCCTTGGGGTTCATTGCTTTTGTTTCAAGTCATGAAAGAATCATATTCACATGCTTTGCTTTATATTGGTGCTAAGCCAACAAAATTTTTAAATTATAAACTAAGAGCCCGAGTACAAAAGTCATTGTTTTTAAATTATACTTAAAACAAACTCTATGGGAGAAGTTCAGAAACCTATGAAACAGGACTTATTAGCATGGATATAACAAGACAAATTTGATGCCTTTGGGATGATACTTAATAGTAATCTAGTAAATCCACCACATATATTGGTTTTTTTTTGGGAGCCTGGGACAACATCTACCAAAGAGATATTCTTGTGCTGAAAATACATCTTCCTCCAAGACACCACATACTACTGAAACATGCCTAAATCACTATTTCTCCTTTTCAAATTTGTAGAGCCAAAACTATGTTTACAATGATTTTTATATACCAAAAACTTGCAAATAATTACAGGTACTCTAACCAGGATTATCTTTCTTTCTTTTCTTTTCTTTTTTTCTATTTTTGCCCCTGGGGAGGATAACTGAAGTGTAGAGCACACAGTATCCATGTGAACACACAATTGGATATACATTTTTGATGTCTCACAATTGAGTCTATTAAACAAACAGAAATCTAGGGAAATTCAAGTACCTACAGAAGCAACTAAACAGGAAAAAAATTTAATTAAAAACAAGTTTCTAGCAAAACATGATCTAAATCCATATGTATAGCCATCAATATCACATGGCATGAAGAAGAACCTTGAACTTGCCGTCCGTGATTCAGCAATGACCTTTTTCCGGCTCCTCCGCCAAAATGTAGTTGCAATATTGGGTTCGCTACGTGATAAACTGAGGCAACGAAATAGAACCAATAACAACCAGCCCATATGATCATTAGGGGAAAAAATGTTTTTAATTAAGAACACATTTGTAAAAGGGAGAACTAAGTATTAGAAAAGGCAAGAGACCAGTCAAATTCCGTAATCAAAATAAATTCTATCAAGATGAGCACTTATACTACCTCAAGTTTCTGTCTATAGAGGTAGAAGATCGTGACATCATATTCCTCAAAGAAAGTCCTGAAACATTTGAAGAAACTTCCAACCTCCGCTGAGATTGGAGGCCCTCATCTTTCTCAGTACTGCAGTATATGGAACAACATTAATAACTATCTGACCAATTTTATAAGAAAAGCATCAATTGCTGTATAAGATAATATCATACGTCAATTGCTCAAAAATTAAAATCTGAAAATTTTCTAGACAATGTCTGTAACATTAAAGGACAATTAAACTGGGTTAAATGTTGATCATGTTACTATTAATATTAACCTGTCAGGGTCAACTCTATCTGAAAACCCATAAAGAGGACTGTTTGGTTCTAGTGGTGAATCACAGGAGTCATTTTCTGCAGAATCACTCTCCCCTGCTGCAGATATATGAGTCATAAAAATTGCCTTGGTTGATCGGGGTATCAGTTGGCCAGGAAATCGCATGAGATCAACCAGTAGTTCCACAGAATTCAATGTAAGTATTACAGACATATGCCTATCTGAGTCTACACACACAGCAGCCCCTTCATTGGGTAAACCCTGATTGAAAAAAAAAAAAAAAAGGTATTGTAAGAAAAAGTGAAGATGCATGCCTTCTAAATTTAGCTATGATGAACACCAATCAAACATATAATGAAACGATTTCTGTTCATTTTTCTGTAACTGACCTGAAACTACTTAAATAGACCAAAGAAAGAAAGAAAGCTAAACAAATAAATCATATATTATTCCAAAAGAAAGAAAAGCTTACCACCACGAGCCTACATTCAAGACCTACAGTATCTGCAAGAACTTTAAATAATATTGCGCGTGGACGGCATGAACCATGCTTTATTTGCCCCAGCATCTGGACACTTCGGTTCTCAGAGCCGTGAGATGTTACCTCGAAAGCAGTTTTTGCTGGACTTAGTTCCAAATTTGGCCGTTTGTAAAAATCAGATACCTGTTGAGGAAATACCATGAGTCAACATAGAATATAAAGGCATATACCAGGATCAAGCACAAAAACAGTAGAAAAGCAATTGAACATAGGAGAGAATAAGATTTTGTGGTTGGGCAGTGCAGTTGGGATCAGCTCTGGGTAATGTCAATGTTGTTGAGTAGTGTGCTACATATAATGCCAATGGAAGAAAAAGATCAAAATCCCCTTGTTGTGAATGAATTACAGTTACGAAAGCTTCTAGACTTCTACTAGGTGGAGGCATCCAATATACTTAAGGTGTGTCCTATGAGGTAGAGATGAAGTCACAACTACTGAATCTTTTATTATGGAATTGAATGGCCATCAGCAGCCCAAACTAAAGGATAAATCAAGAAAAGCACTCTGCCATTAAGTTCCTCAATATAATTCTTGTCCTCGAAAATTCTCAACTCACTCTCAGTCCAAATAATCCATAACACAACCAAAAAAGACAATTCCAAGGAACTTTATTTCCCTTACCAAAACCCCCATAGGAAGTTCCCAGTAAAGAATAAATCTCCCACAGGGCAACCCAACTGATTCTCACCAACACATAGGAGATCGCCAGATAGGGCAACGAATAAAGGGATGTTATAGGTTTCATCACTCCTGCAATGAGGACTCGTTTCCAGGCTAAGTCCTTCACTGGGACTCCCAGATTGGAGCAGCCCAACTGATGCGTTTCCATCATTAACACACCAAAAGCACAATTCAATTTAGCTATCCAAAACTAGTCTGTATCTCCTATCAGTATCTTCCATAATAATCAAATAAAATCCTTCAAATTAGAAATTCAAATTTTAAGGGTTTTAACTTTTAACGTAGATTGCTTGGAACATTGCCAAGCACCTTGATACAACCTCATGAAAAGCTCTCGTTTGTGAAGCACTTTTGCATGTAATCCATTTGTAAATTAGGAACAAGCTTAGAGCATCTCCAATGCAAAATGCTATATTTCCATGCCAAATCTATATTTTGAGAGGAGCTACAGTGTCAAAATGCTATGTTTTTTGCAATTCTGCTCCAATAGTGTGTTTCATCCAAAATGCTATTTTTTGACACAACAACCATTCCATGTTTTGAGAGCCCATTGGAGTGCCTTATTTTCATTTTATCAACTTTTGACAATCTCAAAATATGAGGGGTCTTTTGAGAGCCCATTGGAGTGCCTTATTTTCATCCACTTGCTATATTTTGAGTTTGAGAGGCCATTTGAGAGCTGCAATATTTGGCAATACTTTTGACAATCTCAAATTATGAGAGGTCTTTTGAGAGGCCACTGGAGTGCCTTATTTTCATGCACTTGCTATATTTTCAGTTTGAGAGGGCATTGGAGATGCTCTAATGAGATCTTCCAAAAAAAGTATATTAAAGTAACGCTCAAACGGGGAGCACAGCCATGCACAAATTATAAGAATCCCAAACAAACGATTATGCTGTCAAACTATCTAAAAACTCAACTCTATCCACCGTGGATTTTCAATGAGACCCTTTAATACAAAAAAATAAAGAGCTCAAAATTGGATCTTTAAGCGCCCCAAAAATGAGCTTCCTCCCCTTCAAAGGATTCCCTATTCCTCTCCCTCCATTGTCCCCCACCACAAACAATGACGGGTAACTTTCCAAGCATCATTGGCTTGCCATCCACTATACACCCACTCCAAGCCTCAAGCATACTCCTCGTAGAATCCGGCAAAACATAATGAGCGCCGAACAGAGAAAATATCATAGATCAAATATCTATAGCCACGACAGTGCATAAGAAGGTGATTCATCGTCTCCACATCTCTCTTGCACATCAAACACCGATTCACCACAGTGAGGCACCTCATCCTTAGGTTGTCAATCGCTAAAATCCTACCCAAAGCAACAGTCCACCCAAAAAAAAGCCACCTTGAGCGGGGCTTTAGTGTTCCAAAATGCCTTCCAAGGAAAAGAGAGTCCAGTCCCCACGGCTTCTCACATCTCTAATAAAACAAGCCAACCTCAAAAACACCATGCATAGTTCCTTTCCATTGCCACACATCATCCTCCTCCCCTACCACCTGCTGCGTATACAATAAAGACAATAACTTCGGTCGCCCAATCTTGCACATCCCACTCCAACCAAATGTCCCAAGTCAACCTTCCATTCATTATCGATGCAATAATAGTCGGTGATCAACATCTGCTTGTTCACCGCTATAAGATAGAGCCTCAAATATGTGCAAGCTAAAGGCCTATCCCCACACCAGAGGTCCTCCCAAAAGAGAATAGGCCTCCCACTCCTCATCTTGAACCGAATATGTTGGCAGAAATCATTCCAGCCCTTCTGAATGAATTTCCAAGACCCCATACGAGCAGGGCACCTCACCTCCTCCGAGCACCATCCACTCCTACCCTTTCCCACCTTGCACTGAATAACTCTCCTCCATGACCAATCCATCTCCTCCCCAAACCACCACAGCCACTTATCCAACAAGACTTTGTTGAACCACTCCATCCTCTTAATCCCCAGTCCTCCACACTGGATTGGGTTGCACACCTTCTTCCATTCACTAAGTGGTATTTCATATTGTCACCAATAACACCCCATAGGCAGTTCCTTTGCAGCCTCTTAAACCTCTTCACAATGGACGAAGGGATCCGAAACAAGGATAAATAATAGGTTGGAATGTTCAAGAGGGTACTCTTCATGAGAGTTAGATGGCCCCCTTTAGAAAGGTATTGCTTCTTTATCCCTGCTAGCTCCTCTCAAAACACTCCACGACTGGATGCAAGAAGCCATCCTCCTCGAAGGAAGTACAAGCGGAAAGCTCAAATAAGTAATCGGGAATAATCCAACCCCACAACCCAAGATACCAACTAGAAGAGAAATCCCTCTAACCTCCCCCACTAATGCTCTGTTTGGTTGGAGGGATGGAAAAATTGATGGAAGGGAGAGTAGAAAGGATGGATGAGGCATCCCTAGGGAAGGGAAGATGTCTCCCTCAAATTTTGTTTGGTTGGATGGAATGGATAGGAGAAAGGATGGATGAGGTGACACATTATTTTTGTTTGGTTGGAAGGAAGGGAGAGAGGGTTTTTATATTCTTTTACCAATATACCCTTATTATTTAAATTTATAAAAATTCTATATTTATTCCAAGTTTATAGGAAGGTTAGAAATGGAAAATACATATTTTTGTTAATGGTTACTTCTCTCTCTCCTCTCCCTCCCAATTTTGGGCGGATAGAAAAATACAAAGAAAGGAAGGATGAAGCATCCCTCCTTGCTTCCTCCCTCTTTTTCATTCCCTCCAACCAAACATGAAAAAGTTGTTTTAACCACCCTCTCATCCATCCCTCCTCAATCCCTTCCTCCAAACAAACACAGCATAAGACTATCTTGCTTTTTCCAAGATTAACCTTCAGCTTAAACATTGCATGGAAGCAGACCAGGGGGCAACTTAGGTATCTCAACTGATCCTCCGACACCTCAAAAAAAAAATCGTATCGTCAGCAAATAATGTGATAACTCGGGTTGGTGGGTAGGATCCCTGCCAACCTGAAAGCTTGTAACATACGCCAGAGCCTCCACCCTCCTCATCAACCTGTTAAATGCCACCATAACAATGATTAAAAAAGGAATAGAGAAAGTAGATCCCCTAAATCAACAGTTGGGAATTGTCAAAAAAAACTCTATGTGGCCCCATTCACCAACACTAAGAACCTCACTGTAGATAAGAAAGACTAGATCCACCTCCCCCATCTCTCCCCAAAGCCTATCCTCTCCAAAATATATAGCAAGCAATTCCAATTCACATGGTCATTCTCCACATCCAATTTGCAAAAAATTCCCGGGGCGCCTCCGCTGATCCTAAAATTCCACACACTCACTAGCTACAAGCACCGAATACAAAATCTGCCAACTTCCAACAAAAGCAATTTGTGACTCCAAGATCAACAAATCCATAACTCGCGTCGTCCACAAGGCAAGGACTTTAGATACAAGTTTGAAGATGCCACCCACCAAGCTAATAGGCCTAAAGTCCATCACATCAATGGCAACACCCTTCTTAGGAACAAGAGCTATGAAAGACTCGTTCAGGCTCTTATTACAAGAGAATAACCCCTCATCTGAAGTATGCAACTCCTTGCATGTTTACAGATTAGTTGACAATGATCTACATGTATGGTTATTTCCAAGGGCGGATCCAGGAATTATTAATGGGGTGGGCTAATATTTCTTTGGGTGGACTAATACTAGTAATTTTTAAATTTTTTTTTTTTTTTTGGGACTGGGCTAAAATTGCCTATACTAAAAAAAATTATTTCAAAGCCCACCCCTACATCCACCCTTGGTTATTTCTTCTATCAACTTTCCAAGGCCTGCTTAAAGGTTCAAACCAAGATGAGGTGATTCCTAAAATGCTATGATACTTTAAGGCATAGTACTTTTCCTCCATTCATTGGGCGTTGTACCTTTCTCTAAAATTTTATTAAATAGATTTGTTAGCCATTCAACTCCTTCCATTCCTAAGGTTCTCCACGCTTATATAGGGATGTTGTCCGGTCCTCCAGCTTTATTGTCTCCCATTTTTCGCGATGTGTTCTCTACCTCATTCCTATTGATATTATCTATCATACTAAGATTAGGCTCATTATTCTCAATGTCTTCTCTAGGATATTGCACATTTAAAAGTTGTTGAAAGTAATTTGCCACCTATACAAAATGTCATACTCTTTAACCAGTGTTGTTAAAGGCGCGCATAGGCGCCTAGGCTCGAGGCTCAGGTTTAGCGCCTATTGTCATCCCAGGCTCACTGATGTTTACTAGGCGCGCGCCTCAGTTGCGCCTCATCCTGTTTGTGAGGTGCACCTAGGCGCGCCTCACTGATATTTGTTTAAAAAAATACGGTTGTTCTATTTCTTAAGCCAAAAAGGGTACTTTTGGCAACTTAATAAACAAAAAAGAAATCTCAATCATACGATATAAGGAACTATTGTTCAAAAGAATAAAAATATAAGAAAGCCCAAGAGTCAGAGTGTTAACCAAACAAAAATAGAATGAGATTGCGAGACGAAGACAAAGCCTAGTTGCAAAGATGAACGACGAAGCCACGTCAGTTCTTTCTTTTCTTTTTTTTTCTCTCTTCTCCTCTCTTCTTATCTTTGTTTACATCTCTATCTTCGTCTAGTTCTCTCATCTCGCTGTCTTTTTTTTTTTTTTTTTTTGCTTTCATTTTTTTTTTTTTTTTTTTTTTTTTTTTTTTTGTTAACATATTTATTCTTTTTGTGCTTTGTTTTGCCATTCAAAAAACACATTTTGCTTTGCCTTTCAAGAAAACAAATTTGTACTTTGTTTTATGGTTGTTGGATGCTTGTATAGTTGATGGATTTACTTTTTTATATTTGATATTAATTTTTAGAATATTGATATGACTTATGAGATATGAATGTTATTATGGTAGTTTAAATTTTCAATTGTGCGCCTCATCTCACTTAGGCGCGGGCCTCGCCGTGCGCCTCACGCCTAGGCTCCAAAGGACCTCAAGCGCCTAGGTGCGTCTTGGGCCTTTAATAACTATGTCTTTAACTAATATATACACATGCACACTAAGTTATATGTGTGTGTTTGTGTATAAACATATGTCAAACAAAGGACAAATGCATAGCAAAGGCCACTATCAGTGTTAGTCCCGCCTAGGCAGGACAGTGGGAGGAAAGACGGTCAGCAAATTGTTTTTTCGCACAAACATGTACATATGGATACGTATTATATGAGAAAAAATTGAGTTGTTTCAAACAATTGACTATATGTATCACTAGGTTGTTCAGCACCAGTAACCATACCAATATCTATTCACATCCCATTATATCAAAGATGCATCAATTCAATATTTTCATCACAGAAGCATTGCTGAAAGAAACACTATCATTGTGGAAAGATAACAAAAAGTAATCCAAGAACAAAACAAAATTTAGTGAAGGTGAACTAAGGGTTAGATGCTAATGGTAAATTGAGGGTCACGTAAATTCTCACCAATCCTGCAATCTTTTTTATTACTGCCGCAGGATTTGAGTTCAAACCTTTCACCAGTGCCACAATCAATTGCTTTAGCATAGAAAGCTTCTTATCTTTCCCAGCATCTACGAGTATGACATCAGCTCCGAAACCATCAATCTCCAAATCACAAAGCTCTTCCAGAGTAGGAATATCATCAAAAAGCTCTCTAAGCCTTCTTTCCTGCATTACATGTCAACAATTGGAAAATAGGGATCAAATGGAAAACCACTGCAGTCATACATTCAGTATATCAGAAACAAATAAAAGAACTACAAAAAAAAAATGATTCAGATATACGGGCAAACTAAGAAGCACGGACACGGATACGGGACACGGATACGACACGACACAGACACGGCGACACGGCAAATCCAAAAAAATTAGGACACGGACACGGCGAATAGTGTATATATATATATATATATATAAATCAGCATTAATAATTTTTAAAAAAAAAACACTGATATGGTTAGGTTGGAATATATATATATATCACTGATATGTTAGTATATATATATATCAGCATCTTTAGGACACGGACACGGCGAATTGTGGCATCTTTAGGTTAGTATATATATATATATCAACATCTTTAGGGTAGTACAAAACAAAAAATAGAACATATCAGCATTAAAAAAAAAAAAAAAAAAAAAAAAAAAAAATTAACATATCAGAATTAAAAATTTTAAAAAAAAAAAAAATTCCAGAAAAGTGTGTCCGAGCCGTGTCTGAGCCGTGTCCGAGCTGTCTGAGCCGTGTCCGAGCCGTGTCTGAGCTGTCTGAGCCGTGTCCGTGGCGTGTCCGAGCCGTGTCCCAGCCGTGTCCGAAAATTAAAAAAAAAAAAAAAAAATTCCAGACACGTTTTTTGGCGTGTCCGACACGTGTCGGGGCGTGTCCGACGCATGTCCGTGTCCGACACGTGTCGGACACGGATTCTTCGCCCATTTTGGAGTGTCCGTGCTTCCTAGCGGGCAAATAACAACCATAATCAAGAGTTAGAGGACACATCATTACATAACAACAGTAATAAACTGCACCCTTTTTTTTTTTTTTGATAAGTAATAGTGCATTAGAGAGAGTTCAAAAGGGAAACGCATCCATTAGAGAGAGTTCAAAGGGGGAACGCATCCCAAAAGCTACACAAAGGCCAAGGCCAAGAGGGACTCTAAGGAGTAAGGACCCAAGGAACCCAAAAATCAACTAGCTCTATAGATTTAAATTTTCTCCCCATAACCCAACAAAAAAGAGAGCTAACAATAAAAAATTTTAAAACCCTAATAGAAGATTCCTCTCCATCAAAGGATCTTCTATTTCGCTCCTTCCATAAGCACCACCAGATGCAAAAGGGCACCACCTTCCAAAAATCACGGGCGCGAGATCCACATGACACCCTTTCCAAGCATCAATCAATCATCTCGAAGACCGCCTTGGCTGCACAATGTGTAGAACTCATTTCAAGATAGCCTTATAGACTTCTAGGTCAGATTTGAGTAAGAGCAAGATGGCCCCAGTTGCATAGGATTTGGTGATAGCAGATTCACCAGAAAATATGCAATGCAAGTTGCGCTCAACTTTGATCTCTTACACATGGCTTCTTGGTCAAGGCAAAGGCAGTAAAGGATGCAGTTGATGAAAGATGTGATATGAGACTTGTAGGATAAAATAGGAAGTGCCTCTCTTAAGAAGGTAGACCTATTCCAGAAAAGAGGATCTTGTTTCTATTTCATGTCCCCGCTTGCTTTCCCAGCTTCAGTAAAGACCAGTTGGACAAACTCCATAAAGATTTCTTATGAAATGCATTAAGGGATGAGTTCACATATCATCTATATGGACTGGAGGTGTGCTCGACTTCAAAGTAACAATTAACAATAACAACAACAACAATAAACCAAAAAAAAATTAAGCGCTTGTTCAATAAGGCTCTTTACTTTTAGGGCAAATGGCTGTAGAGATATGAGTTAGAGAGGAATTTAAATTAAGGATGGGGGTAGACTGTAATTATTGTAGCAGTCGAGACGAATGGCCATTGGGGAAGTAGAGTTGATGAGAAGGAATGACTCCTCCGAGTCCTGGAGTTTTGTGCTGGGAGATGGGCAGAGATCAGTTTTAGGAAAGATGGTTGGTGTAGTAAGTTTACTATGAGAGAGAGGTATCTGACTCTATAATAGAAGTTCATTAGAAGGGTTATAGCAATGTGGAACAGGCAATTGTTGCTTATTACTAAAGAAGAATCTTTTCCTATTCTGCTATATAAAAACATGTTAGTGACTAGGCAGATTTAGAAATTAACCTGTTACTTTTTTACAAAATAATTAGTTCTAAACAAGAAATGAAAAAACAGCCTTGATGTAATCAAAATAGCCCCTCTTCTTACCATTACAGGCCAATTTAGCTTTAGCAAAGTTATGCCAGTTCACATATATAAAGGGCTAAGGCTGTTCCAGCACCTATCGAGATGTGAATAACATAATGGTAATCAAACTCCATTACTAGCTTTTAATTGTAAGATTCCCAAGACATACACTTGAGTTGCTAAGCTAATAATCCTGTCTCCAACATAATAAGCAATTGCTACTTACTTTTTTTGTTGAAGTATAAAACTCCTATGTAACCTAAGTCTACTATTCTCAAAAGTTAATATGCTATACCAGAAATTACATAGAAGGTTACTTGCATTAGGCCGGAAGTCCAAAGCTAGCAAGCACACGCACTCCTCTAGGGAGTGCCATAGCGGTGTTCAACACACGTAGACACAGTCGGAGACATGTCTGACATGCGCAAGACTTGGGAGTGTCCAAGAGTTTGAATATTTTATTTTCTAGTTGAACACGGCATGAACACAAAGGAGACACATTAAGGACATGTTTGGCACTTTCCAAACATGACGGGTAGTATTGCAATATTTAAGAAAAGGGATTCCAATGCAATTTTAAATCATATTATGAGTTGATAGAAAAAATAATATAAAGTTTTAGAAACAAAAACAACGCACATCCAGCTCTGCTCCAAATTAGTGATTTAGCGAGAAACTTTTTTGTGTATATATTATAATATATAATTTTTTGTATCTATATCATGTACATGTTCTATTTTTTTTATATTTGTCATATCGCTGTGTCCGTAGACTTTGTACCCGTGCTTTATTGGTCCAAAGGATTAAAACTGCATATAAATTATATATTATAATATAATTTTTTATTTTTTTTGTATCTATATCGTGTCCATGTTCTATTTTTTTTATATTTGTCATATCGCCGTGTCCGTACCCGTGCTGTATTGATCCAAAGGATGAAAACCACATATAAATTTTTGTTGTCCAACAGTTTTAAATTATTCAATCTTGTAGGTTTTAGGTATAGTATATCAAATGAAAATTCAAAATTTTCTTCCAAAAAGCGGATTAAAAAAACAATAAAATTGCATTCCATTATTAAACCTTGTCTAACTTAAACACTAATATGTGGATTCAGAAAACAAATTCATGACTCAAGGTATGGACATCCTCTCAGGAGTCATTCTATGAATCATTACTCCCAATAGCACAGCAGCGCCCATAATTTAAAAAAATGGTTCTTCTTTGTATTACAACTACAACATTTAATTCAAGAGCTTGCATCAAGATACATGATATTTACTTGGCTTCGTCTCTTAAAGAAAAAAAGCAAAATGCATCCTTACACACCTATGCTTAAAATTACCACACAAATGGTTCAAATTTTCCTCATTTGGCTGAGCAGGTTCTAGTAGCTTTGACTGGAAAACAAATTTCAAATGCTAAAAACAATAATTCAAACTTCATTTCACTAACAAATTAAATAGTTATCAAATGCGCAAACTTTAAAATAGATTTCTTTGTGAAAAAGAGAAATAGTAGATCTCAGATATCTCAGATTCCAGCAAAAATTTACCAGAGAAAGGATCAGCAGAAAACATAATAACATCAACTTTTTGGCAACACCGCCAACAACAACAACAAAAAGAAGAAGAATGCTCACAGGAATGACGGAGTAAAAACCATTTGGAATTGGTTCAGAAAGCATTCCAGTTTTCCACAGAATCTGTGACGCTGTCTGAGATGACAGCCTGTCATCATGTTCATTATAGTTATCTGAATCTTTGGTACTCAAAGTTTCTACCTTAGAATCCAGAGAAACAGATCCAAATTTTTCAATGAAATCTGAAGGCCACCAAGTAGCGTGTCGAGTCCTTTGTTCTGCTGGCCCTGCATCATCTCGTGTCTCCTCCATGTCCATAAATAATTGAAATGTAATACCATTTCGCCGCGTCTTACCCCATAAAAGACCTTCGTAATCTATAAAGTGTTTTAAGACAACAAATCATTGCATTACAAACTTCTTCTGTTGTGACTCCCTTAAGCTGGAGGTCAGATGACCTGCAAGGAGGGAAAAAAAGATTCATATTCACATTAATATGCATTTCCTACATCAGCTAGTTCAAATCCAGATTCAAATATCTAATAAAACCTAAAAATCTTAGTGGCCCATATAAACAGTAAGCAATAAACATAGCAAGCAGAATTATAGGGATATGTGGGAAGCAAATTAGAAGCTTATCCTATGAACTAGAATGCCCACTTAAAGATACACAAACAGTAAATCAAAATGAAGAAACAAGATCTAGCACACACACACGCGTCAATGGGGTTCATTCATTTGCTACGAGTTTTAATTTTGAGAGTTATAGGCTTGTGATGAGAGTTAAAACTTATTGTTTTGATGTAAATAAACTTCAAAATATAGCTTAAATTAACCAGGTTATTTTTGAAAAAGCCTAATTTTATTGAAACTATTTAAATCCTAGTTGTAGGATATCTTTAGAAGCCAAAAAAATGCTTTTTTCCAATAGTATTTTTTATAGAAGTATATTCTTTCAAGGGCCTTTTTATAAGTACATTTCTTCACTAACTTTTTAAACGGAATTTCATTCATTTTAGAAAATTAAGTTCGTGACAATTTTTCATGAACTTAAAGTTGTAAAAGTAAATAAAATGTCCTTGAATGAGTGTGTCCCATGTACAAAAATAGGACTCTATAGCCTCAATTTGTCCATAATATCTCCCCCACAGATGTACAATTAAACTCAATTTTAAATGGTATTTTCCCAGTTACTATATGGAAGATTTGGTCCATCAGAAATGCCATGCTTCAAATGGGGATACAAGAACAGAGCTCACATGTAGTGCAAGTTATTATTTGGGAAGTTATCACATATCTAAATATTAGCTTAGCAGATCTTTTGATTGTTTTTGGTTTGTAATTTTTCATCTTTTGAGATAGGTTGCTTGTTGGAAATGGAAATGTCATTTCCTTTTCAATTTTTGGAGAGTATTCTCCTCTTGTAATTGTACTATTTTTGAATATCTATAAAATACCCCATTCAGGAAAAAATAAATAAATAAATAAAATAAAAAATAAAATAAACCCATTAGCCCATAAAAATAAGAAACTAATGCTCCGTTTGGCATGCGTTTTGTTTCTACTATTTTTGTTTTTGGACTGCTACAGTGTCGATTTTAGTAATAAAGTATGTTTGGTGCAGCCTTGTTTTATTTTACACAGTGCTAAAACACTTCGTGAACAGTGGCATAAAACCAAAATACGAAAAAGATGTTTTTTTCTTGTTTTGACAATTGTTCATGGCCCAAAATTATAACTGTGCATGTTTCTGTTTCCGACATTTCCACAACAAAATATCGTTCCCAAACGTACTTCCGATTTTTTTCCAAAACGCTCTTATAGCAAAAACATTGTTTCTATTTTAACCAAAAACAAAACACCTAAAACAAATTGCATGCCAAAAACTACAAAACCAACTCCTAAATACTGTTCACTGGGACTGTTTCCAAACTGGCCCCAAGCTTTGCCTTACGTTGAGTAGAAAAGGCTCAAACCCTTGCCCCTTACATTCCCTGCAAGAATGGACCCTCACTAACCTTTAAACACATAAAACTAATAATATCCAGCCCATTGGAAGCCCTTTCAATGCTGCCCCCACATTAAATTTAATTTTGGAGTTTGTACGAGAGTGTTTTCACATTGGTATCAGAGCTTGTAATTATCTATGTTCATCCTACATCAGTCTTCCTTAAAGCATTGGATTTAAGGAATATACTCTTAATTGGTTCTGAATTCTGAAATCTAAATGCGGCTTTAGAATGAATACCAAGATCTTCAACTACTTCTACTACTATAAAGAACTACAAGACACAGTACTTAACTGCAATCTTCAATTTATATATACATTCTATCACCAATACAAATCTAATGATCTTAAACCTCATAATCAATCAATAGAAGAACATAATTCAACCCTGCCTCTCTACCAAATATTTGATCCTTAAAATTTCAGTTCAAAAATTCAACAGCTCAATAACAATTCATTCCAAATTTTAACATTTACCATCTAATCCCATCCATACCGCCTATAGAATACACTTCCTAATCAAAATCTAATCGATAACAAGCAAAACTGGCATTCAAAAACATTGCAGACATAAATATTAAAAGTGAATACATACATGAATATAAGTGTATGTGTGATCACAGAGGAGAGAATGATGATCTCACCACCAGCAGATCCGAGCGCTTGAATCTCCTCCCCCTCCGTCTAACAATAGCATTTGGATCTTTAACCTTCAAGAGAACTCAACTTCATGTTTAAATCAAGCTTGAAGACCAGAAAAAGACTAGAAACATAGAGAGAGACTGGCGATGTAGAGTGAGAGAGTGATGGTAGAGGGAGAGAGGGAGAGAGGGAGGGAGAGAGAGAGAGAGGCGGGGGTTGGATTCGATATTTTGTTTTGGGTTTTTATTACGATATTATTAATTTACGATGGATGGATCGTAATCGTAGAGGAAAGCGAATGGGGTCTTTTACGAGGAGAGAGAGAGGGCGTGAGTCACGTGGTTAAGGCGCGCCAAATTGCCCCTACCCTCTCCGACCAGCCAGCTGTCATTTGGCCGGGGGGGGGGGGGGGGGGGGGTGGCTCGCTAACATACATACGGGTCACACTGCAGTCTGCGTGAACCCTCCTTCCTTCAAAACCCCACCCTCCCTCTATTTCTTTTATTCAAAAACTTCAATTAATCATTAATCAAATAAATGGTAAATTTTGCAAGGTGTAAATTAATTGCCAACAAGCACCTAGCATTCAAAGAGAGTCACGAGTTTTCTTAACGTATAACACTTAATTGGAAGTTAATTCATCCAAATTAATATAAGGTTAATTTACAAAAAAAAATCCCACATTATAGATTTTATGCAGGCTTACCAGTTGCACTCTAATTTTAAAAAGTGACCGTTGTTGGTCCATATTTTTTAAAGAAAAAATAATTATGCAAATACACCTGTCTAATCACTTTTTGGCGAAAATTAAATAAAATAAACTTGATATCCTCATTTTACCTTCTTTTTTTTTTTTTTTTTCATTTTTTATCTCTCTGTACACCTTCCCCCCCTAAATTGCCCCTTCTCTCTCACGGCACCGCCCGGCGCTAGGGGGTGGGGGGAGTTGCTAATATTCACACGGGTCACACTGTCGCCTGCATAATCCTCCTTCCTTCACCCCCACTTTCTTTTCTTTTGATTCAAAAAAACCCCCAATTAATCATCAATCAAATAAATGGAAAATTTTGCAATGTGTAAATTAATTGTCAAAGAAGCACGTAGCATTTAGAGAGACTCGTAAGTTTTCTTCAAGTGTAATATTAAATCGCAAGTTAATCCATCCGAATTAAAATAAGGTTAAAAATAGTTTTGTGCACACTTACCGATCACCCCCTGGTTTTTAAAAATGAACATTGTTAATTCCTATTTTTGACAGGAAGAGAGGAAAAAAAAAAAAAAAAAAAAACATTTGTGCAATTACACCCTTACAACTTTTTGGCAAAAACTGAATAAAGTAAATCTGATATCCCCATTTTGCCATTTTTTTTTTTTTTTTTCCTTCCTATATTTCCCTTTTCACATTATACATATTAAAAAATTGCTCGACCCATTTTTATCTATATGTACTCCTTCTCTCGCCTCAAACCCAAACCACCACCACCACCACCACCACCACCACCACCACAATAGACATGGATTCATTACAAACAATTTGACAAGATTAGAAAATGTCAAACAACGACATTAGAAAACTACGGCCCTTGTAATTGTAAATACTGCAATCAATCACTGATTGAGTTTTTCCTCTACTGATGATCCATGAATTTCCTTTATTCAGTGAACCAAAGAAAAGACTAAAGGGTTAAGTGCAAAAAATTACCATACACTATCAACATAGTGCATATGCCCCATGTGTGATATAAAACACCCCTTAACTTTTAATTTGGTGCGAATAAGGACTTCTATACTTAAAAAAACTATAATATCCTCTTGTTTTTAGAATGAAATAATAATAAAAAATCATGGGATGTAAAATGAACATTTTAGATAATTCCCAAACATTTCGTTTTTTGACATGGATTCATTACTAACTATTTGACAAGGTTAGAAAATGTCAAAGAATGAAATAAGAAACCACTTCCCTTGTAATTGTAAACACTGCAATCAATCATTGATTGAGTTTCTCCTCAACTAATGATCCACGGATTTCCTTTATTCGGCGAACCAAAGAAAAAAAATGAAGGATTAAGTGCAAAAAATTGCCCTACGCTATCGATACAGTGCATATGCCCCATGTGTGGTAGAAAACACTCCTTACTTTTAATTTGGTGCAAATAAGGACTTCTATGTTTAAAAAAACTATAATACCCTCTCGTCAATACTCAACAGAATGGAATAATAATAATAAATCATGAAATGTAAAATGAACGTTTTAAATAATTCCCAAACATTTCGTTTTTTGCACTTAATTCATTATTTTAACTGAACTATATAAAGCGCAAAATTTTGTACTCTCACTGTGTCATTAACACGGCCCTCCACCATCAACCGCCAAACGAAATTAGAAAACCACCACCCTTGAAATTGTAAACACTGCAATCAATCATTGATCGAGTTTCACCTCAACTAATGATCCACGGATTTCCTTTATTCAATGAATTAAAGAAAAAAATGAAGAGTTAAGTATAAAAAATTGCCATACACTGTCGATATAGTGCATATGCCCCATGTATGGTATAAAACACCCTACTTTAAAATTTGTTTCAAATAAGGACTTATATGCTTAAAAAAACTATAATACCCTCTCGTCAATAGAATGAAATACTAATAAAAAATCATGGAATGTAAAATAAACATTTTCGATAATTCCCAAACATTTCGTTTTTTGCACTTAACCCATTATTTTAACTGAAATATATAAAGCGCAAAATTTTGTACTCTCACCGTGTCATTAACACGCCCTTCCACCATTAACACACCCTTCCACCATTAACCGCGAAACTCCACCCCACCCTTACTACCCACTTCCACACCAGCAACATGTCACTAATTAAATATAGACACCCACAATCAAGATATTGATGATCCAAAGTCTTGATAAATCGGACATTGATATGCGCCGAATGTTGCACATTCAAACTCTCTTATTTATGCACGTTAGCTATTTAGTTTTATTTATTTGGTACTTTTATGCCATTTGTGTGTTTTTGCTATTTTCAGGCATTTATCCTCAAAATCGAGTTAAATTAAGAATTTTGGGACTTCATATGATGCGTCTATCCAAGCGAGTTCCGGGTGAAGACTTTAAGTACTTGGACCAAATCCATAATCAATTCTGAGCCTAAGTGAAGACAAGATTATAAGCCGAGTAATCAATCTCAAAAGAAGAAAGTTGGTCCATCCCTTCATTGGTGATCGGTCGCCCATATAAAGCATGGGTTCGGCGATCGGTTGATAATGGAGGGATGGACTAACTTTATTCTTTTGAGATTGATTACTCGGCCTATGATCTTGTCTTCACTTAGGCTCAGAATTGATTATGACCTGTTGCCAAGCTAAGGTCTGGAAGCCAATTGTAAAAGAAGAAAAAAAATCAGATAATTACTTACGAAGGGACTGATCACCCAGTGTCATCGCCAAAGCCCAGCACGCACCAACGTGCGTGCATGACGCCCTGCGACCAGTCACCCACCTTTTCATCTCATGACAAAATAATCGTTGGAAAGTTTTGCTTTTCCCTTTGTTTGGGGATCTGGTAGCAGAGCTTGGGGGCATGAATTTCTCTCTCTTGGAGGACAACACAAGAGATACATTTTTTTTTTCATAAGAGATACATTGAGCTTGTCTTGCATAGAGGGCCTTATCTTGGGATATAGAGAGAGAAAGGGAGAGTTCTAGAGAGAGAAAGCTCTGTTCTTGAAGATTAAAGATCATTCATGGAGTCTACCTTGGAGATGATGCTTTCTTCCACCAAGGAGGCTTCCATCTTGTCCATGAGCAACTAAACCTCTTCCTAAAGAGTTGATGTAGGCTTTTATCATCCTTAAACTGATGGACAAACCGAGAGAGTTAATCAGATCATAGAGGATATGCTTCGTTCTTGTGTCCTTGATTTTAAAGGCAATTGGGAGGATTATTTGCCACTTGTGGAATTTGCATACAACAATAGCTTTCAGAAGACTATTGGTATGGCACTGTTTAAGGCATTTTATGGCTGACCATATAGATCTTCTGTTTGTTGGTTGGAGGTTGGAAAGAGTAGATTTTTGGGTCCTGAGTTCATTAAAGATACCTCAGAGAAAATCGCTCTTATCAAGGATCGTATGCGCACTGCTTAGAATAGGCAAAAGAGTTATGCCGACCGTCGTACTCATGAATTGGAGTTTTAGGTTAGAGATTAGGTTTTACTCAAAGTATCTCCTATGAAGGAAGTAATGCGCTTTGGGAAGAAAGGGGAATTGCCACCGCGTTTTGTCAATCCTTTTATGATTATGAATCAGGTTGGAGTTGTAGCTTATCAGTTAGCACTTCTGGACCATTTACATCATGTCTATAATGTCTTTCATGTGTTCATGTTGCGGAAATTTCTACAAGATGAGGATCGCTATCAGCATATAGATGTTGGCGAGACTGAGTTGCAGCTTGATGCAACATATGTGAGCCACTGTGTCATATTCTAGACCGAAGGGATCAGATTCTTCGCAACAAAACTATACCTTTTGTGCGTGTTCAGTGGAGCCATCATAATGAGTCCGAGTCTACTTGGGAACGGGATGATGAAATTCGCTCAAAGTTTCTAGAAATTATGGAATAAGGTAAGGGCGAATTCTGATTTTCGAGGACGGAATTTGTAATGACCCGATCATTTTTCTTCCTTTTCTTTTTCTCAGATTTTCACGGATATTTTTTTTCCGTTGTCTTTTCCTTTTTGGGTTCAGTTTTTCATCACTTGATGTCGTCTCGAGTGCTCTAGAATGATTTTCGAGATTCTTTTCCTTGGATTGACAACTTCCTTTGGGGATTGTGTCATTTCCATATTTTATTTTTTCGAACACTATTCACATTTTGTCTTTTTCTCGTTTATCCTTTTTCCTTGCACAACCTCACTTTTTGTGCTCGGATTTGATTCCGATTTTTGCATGCACTCATAATATTTGATTTCCATGATAATGGTATTTTTACTTTTCTAGAAAAGCATGTTGATTGCTTACTTCTTTCATAAAGGGGCATTAATGCATACTTTAGTGTAATTATTCTTAACTTGTGGGGTTTTAGTGTAATTAAATAAAGTAATTATTTTTCATCTTGGGGATCATTTTGCAATTAAATTTGGAAGAAATTTTCAAAAAGGACCTTTTTGCAATTTTTGAAAAGTGTGACAAGTGTCACACTCTCATTGGTCTACTTGTTGACATTTGTGTGGAAACACTTTAATGCATTGGATGATGACATTTGG